ATACGTATGATTGATATACGTATATGATTTTCACCGGATACACATAAACAGTTATATGTATCGATAAAACCAGAAAGCTATATGCTTAAGAAATGAATTTCAGTATTTCCTCATAAAATTAACTTTTAGTCAACTGGTTGACTTTTTGGTCAACAGTTGACTTTTGGTCAACTCATTGATTTTTTTGGTCATATGATGACTTATTAGTTAATGATTGGAAAATTACGAAATACTGTATTTATAAAACACCATATTGATGTGGTATTTTTATTTATGAAATACACACTTCATTATACCTTGATTAATGAGTCATATTTTTATTTATGAAATACACACTTCATTATACCTTGATTAATGAGTCATGAGATGAGTTATTAAGGTGGTATGGTTTGGGAACATGGTTGATTAATGAGTCATGAGATGAGTTATTAAGGTGGTATGGTTTGGGAACATGGTTTTAGCACATAGTTTTCATTCTTCATGACTCTTTGTATGACTCATGAGATGAGTCATTGCATGACTCGTGGAAGGAAGCATTACATTTAGATGACTCATGGCATGACTCATGAGATGAGTCATGACATATCTCACTCTATATATATGAGCTCTCTCGCTTATGGAAAGGTTAATGAAAAATTGGTTAAGTGGCTTTTTCCATAAGAGAATAAAAGAGAGCTCAACCTCTTACTAAATTCTGGAAATCTTTGAGTAAGAGGAAGTAGTAGAATTTTATAGTACCTTGGGGTGGATATGTTGCCTTGTGTCTCAAGAAGACTCCGATTTTATCAAGCTCACTTGAAGACTTGGAGATCCACTACAAGGAGGTTTACAACAACAATGAGAACGAGCTAGGGGTTATTCGATCTACCATCAAATCACGCAACGAAAGTAAGCCTTCAAAGCTCTTGGTTGCTCTCTTTATTATAGGGATCATGTTAGATTTAATTAGGATGGTCCTAGCTTGTATTTCATGCTCTCTACATGCTTAGTTTTATTATACATATAGTCTTTCGTTGCGTATTTTGCATGTAATTAGCACGAATTTCCAACAGTAACCACATTGAAATAGAAGTCCTTAAACACTTCCACAACCCACTTATAGTAAAGAAATAAACTCAAAAAAATAACCAAGACATGACAAGTGATTCGAATAATTGAGAGGCGTAATTCCCAAAAGTATGATGAAATTCCCAAAAGTAATAAATTGAAGGGATTTATGAAAATTATGTAATTATTTCTACTTGATATATGATGTAATTCACAAAACTATAATTTTATTAGAATAAAATTCATAAACTAATCATGAACTGGAATTAATAATAAAGAAGATTTATATATGTAACCTTTAGGGTTATAACAGTAAAAGAAATAATATTCATAGTATTTGCAAATAGGTCCAATGCCTATAAATACTCAAGATTCTTAGGGTTTGTTGTTCTTTTTTTAAAACATAACTTTTAGGAGTAGGAGTTCTATAGGAGAGGATGACCAAAAAGAGGAAACCTAGCAGGGGAAAATGATCTGCAACTCAGGCGATGATTTTCTCCACTTTATTATTTACTCTTAGGAATCTTTTTTGCTATCTCTCTATATATTTTCTTTGGATCTATTGAACCCTATATTTTCATGCTAAAACTTAATAAGGTTCTTTGTTAATGATTCCCTGATGTTTAAGAGAAATTTTCATGAGATTTAACAGGGTTTACCCATACATAAATCATTAGATTTGAAAATATATAAAAATTATGTGTGAAACCCTAGTTCCTTATTTTTCCTTGTTGTTGATCTTAGTTTTTTTTCCTTGTTGTTGATCTTAGAAACACAGTAGAAACATGGTGTTTTAGTCCTTATCATAACTCTAAGAAGTCATGAAGTGAATGGAAGTGAAACATTAAAGAAACAAGTTATAATAGATCGATCGTACAGGAGCAGTGTCGATTTAGTCTTTTAATCGAACGATATCAAACATCTAATTTAAAATAGACATCTGGTCATCCGATAGCAGATGTATGATTTAAAGTTAGACATCTGATTAGGGCAAGCAGATGCCTGAATGCGGTTTGACAAAAACCTAACTTTTTGTTTATTTCACTAATTCTTTTAGGAGACATTTGGTGGTGGTGTTCAGACATCTGGTTGATTTTGGTCGGTTATTTGAATTTGGTTTGGATCATTTTATCTCTTTAGTGATTTATAGTTTAGTCTATTAGACTATTTATAAGTTTTAAATCTTATTTAAGGGAGAATATTAGTATTTGATGATGTAGAAGTAGTCCCGTGAAATACCTACACATATATGGAGTGTTTTTTTATCACTTGAATACCTTGACATATGTTGAATGAATATAGAACTTACTATAAGATGAATGAGCAGTTAATGAATAGCATTATAAGTTAATTTATAGAGCTGAAACATTAGAGTGCTACACCTAAACATTGTACATGTAGACGGGTGTAGAGACATGTATCCTAAACAATGGAGTGTACCCTGATTTAGTTATTCCTAATACATGAGCTGACTAGGCAGTTGATCCCTAGTCTGGACTGCTTTAGTTAGTAATAATAAGGTTGTGTGAGGTAGCCATAGGATGCTTATTCTAGTGCATACCATTATACGTACAAATTAAATAAAAGTGACAGAGAGGAAAATTAATGAGATGAATCATGAATTAAGGTTGGTTGGTTAGCCATAGGACTTCGACATGAGTACCTATTTGATAATATTATGTTATATATGTTTAACCATCTTAAGCGAGTAGACTCGATCATTTCACATCTTAAAAAGAACATAATTAAATTCTTTAATTTGTTGTTTATGTTTTAATATATGTTGTGTGTACAACACTACATGATGTATCCTTTTGAAACTTATTATCCTTATCATTGATTCATATATTATTTCTTATCTAGCTGATAATTATTATTGTGTGCGGCCTACTATTAATTTTTGTAGTTTCCTCATATTTTTCTCTATTGCACCTTATGTCTAATCATTTGTGGATCCCTTCTTTAGATAATAAATTGAGTCTGACTGCAACGGACCAATCTTACTTGAATAAGCAGGTTATAAGGAAGTAGCTAGAGCCATGCAATGCAAATATAAACAGTAATTAGTTTAATTATTTATCAATATATACTTCTTGATATTTCTCTAAGTATGTTATCTAGTTTTGATGATTGTCACTAGTAAAAATTGGATTATTGTAGACGGATTATCCTAGACGGAAAATTTTCCGTCTAGGATGCTAAATACCGCGACGGAAAATGTCCGTCTGTACTATTCCGTCTGGAATAATTTATTCTGGACGGAAATTTCCGTCTAGAGAGTATTATAGACGGAAATTTCCGTCTAGAATAACTACTGTACATTTCTTTTGTATTTAAATTTCAAAAATATGTGGGCCCCACTATTCCAGACGGATATATCCGTCTAGGAAGTATTACAGACGGATATATCCCACCTAAAGAAAAAAAAAACCCCTTTTCCTTTTAATCCTCATGAAAATTTCAGATCTCCCCCCTTCTCTTCGATCTCCTATCCAAGAAATTTCAGATCCCTTTCTCTTCGATCCCCTCACGAAAATTTCGGATCCCCTTCTCTTCGATCTGAGCTAGGGTTTAAACCCTCCGATCCCAGCCCTTCGAACCCCCTCGCTTCCCCTTCGATCTCAGCCACTCTCTCGGGGATCGTCGCCGGCGAGATACCCCGCTGCCGCCGAGAAACCAAGTTCTGACTCAACGTACGCACGCAGGTAACCTCTGTCTCTCCGATCCCCTCTTCCCTTCTCCTCTCTCGTCGAAACCCTAGATCTGAGCTAGGGTTTCGATCTCCCCCTTTCTCCTCTCTCTCCCCGTGTACAACGAAACCCTAGATCTGAGCTAGGCTTTTCTCTTTTGTAGCTTATTTCCTCCTCTCTTCGGGTTGCTCTCCTCAAGCTGCTGCCATTTCTGATTGGGTTCAAGGTATGGCTTCGAAAATTGCTGTTTTTAAAATTTTCGAATTTTTTGTATATTAATCTCTCAAGTAGTATTTGGAGTTGCTCCGAAGTCCTTCAAATATCACAATATATGATATTTGTTTTCTGCTTACTCTTGTGCTGGACATATTTTTGTGATGTGAAAGGGCAAATTGATATGAGACAGATTTAGAACCTTGTTTACTTCAACCAGAGATGTCAATAAAGCAAACCTTATGTTACTGGCCGCCGATGGCTTGCGTGCCGACCGTTTTTCGATGTTTGTGGTCTTGCTAACAACAATATTTTAAATTTAGTGTGAGTTATAGAAGAAAATGTTTTCAAAAGAATAGAGTGATATATAACACAATATTATATAATAATGTGTTATATATCCAATTTAGGTGAAAAAATATCACGTTATCTTTAGACTCCCGTCCAATAATTACATCCAATTCTTTGAGGTTATAATATAAGATAAACGACTCGAATTTTTGGGAAGGAGATAAAGTTTTCTACTCAAAAATGATCGTTCATTTTATATTATACTAGGAAAGATTTGGTATATAAATTTGTAATTATTGGATCTGTCCTTCTCGGACGGGTTAGGAATATAGTAGTGCATACATCCAACTTTATATACTTTGTATGTTTTCATTTCTTGAAAATTTCGGCAACTCGTACCTGTTGTTCTCCGTGTACAATAAGCGTATGTTCTGCGTTTTGGTATATTATCAATACGCATAATAACATCCGCACAGTGTACAGGGAGAACAACGGGTAGGTGCTGCCGAAATTTTCAGGAAATGAAAATATACAAAGTATATGAAGTTGGATGTAAGCACTACTATATTCTTAATGGGATAGAAGCCTTCCTATGACAGCCGTTAGACGGTGCTAATTAGTTGAAGCTACCTTAATAAGTTTCAAACATAACTCAATGAGCCTGACTTAAATGCTGCAACGTATGTTTAAGAATAGTATAAAATATATGGGTATACTATCTATTATCAAATAGAGTTTCTAATTAGATATTACCTACAGATGAGGAAAATTCCTGACAAGTCATGGATAGATATCCCTAGGATTGAACGGTTTCGCGATCGACGTTATAGGGATGGATGTGAAGCCTTCATGAAGTATGCCGAAATGAACCCAAATAATTTAAGTAGCGGTGCAATGTACTGCCCCTGTTATATATGTAAGAATATGAAGCTGAAAAATAGAGAGGAAATACGAAGTCACTTAGCAAACTCTGGGTTTTACGCTGAATATAAATATTGGTCCTACCACGGGGAAGGCCATACTGAAATTGAAGTACCAGATGTGCATGTTGATGCCAGTCATGCTCTTGATATAGATGATACAGAAAATTTACAAACTGAAGGTGGACCTAGCCATACCGAATACGATATTAACAATGACAGTGAAGATGATATCGTAGATGATGTCCAAGATGCAACTGAGATTCAAGATGTTGATGACCCAGAAGGCTTTGGAGATGCTCATATTCCTGAGGACTTGGATCGTATAATGAAACTACTGGAGGACAGTGAAAAGGATCTGTATGAGGGTTGCACCGAGTACTCCAGATTTTCATTTATGTTGGAGCTCTTGCATATTAAGAACCTCAGTGGAATGGCAAATACTTATTTCGAAATGCTTCTTGATTTGTTGCGGAAGGTAGTTCCAGGAGGAGAGCGTAGCATTCCTAAAACAACTTATGCGGCTAAGCAAATTGTTTCCGATTTGGGACTTGATTACAATAAGATTGATGCGTGTCCCAATGATTGTATTCTCTACTATAAGGATAATAAAGAACTTCAGGAATGTCCAACATGTGGAGTATCTCGATGGAAACAACGCACCCGCTCTTCAACAAGGCGGACAACAGAGTCAGTGTACATGCAGAGCAAGATTCCAGCTAAGGTGCTTCGCCATTTTCCATTAGTTTCTAGATTGCAACGTCTGTATATGAACAAAGACACCGCTAAGAGCATGAGGTGGCACAAAGAGGGTCGTATAGAAGATGGTAAGTTGAGACATCCAGCTGATGCAGAGGCTTGGAAGCATATTGATAAGACTTTTCCCAATTTCGCTCATGAATGCAGAAATGTCAGACTTGGGCTTGCTAGCGACGGATTCAATCCGTTCGGGGTTATGAGTTCAGGTTGGTCTACATGGCCAGTTGTCTTAATGCCATATAATTTACCCCCACTGCTTTGTATGAAACAACCGTATATGATACTCTCATTACTGATACCAGGTAAGCATGCACCAGGTAATGATATTGATGTCTACTTAGAGCCCTTAATTGATGAGCTAAAACAGTTATGGTCGGAGGGTATGTTGATATATGATGCCCATGCTAAAGAGTCATTTAGACTTCGTGCTATCCTAATGTGGACAATTAATGATTTTCCAGCTTATGCTAATCTTTCTGGTTGGTCTACAAAAGGCAAGTTTGCTTGTCCAGTATGTGGCCCAGAATTTGAAGGCCTTCACTTACCATATAGTCGAAAATGTTGTTATTGGTTCAACAGGAGATGGTTGCCCTCGGGCCATAAATACAAAAAATTAAGCAATAAGTTTGACGGCACTGTTGAGACTAGGAATAAACCACGTCAAATGACCGGTGCTGATATTGTAAAGTTGCTTGAGCATCTTCCTAAAATTAGATTTGGTAAGAACCGATATTCTAAGTACGACTCACTAAGCGTTAGAGGCTCCGGGAAAAAAGAAAGACACTGAATGAAGAGGAAGAGAGCAATCCACCGGCATATGTGCATAATGGAAAGGGGCCGATAAATTACCAAAGGGATGGTAGTTAATTCAGTATATTTCTTCCAGCTACCATTTGGCAAAAGCTTAAATCAGCATAACTTGGATGTCATGCATATGAGAAAAATGTTTGTGACATATAGTTTTCAACTCTCCTTCCAAGATCCTAATAAGTCAAAGGTGATGCACCTAAGGGCTCGTCAAAGACTTAGCTGCATTGAATATAAGAGAGAAGATTTGCAAAGAACAAGATGTTGTGGTCTAAGCAAAAAACATAAGCCTTCCTCTCGTGTCTACGACTGTCGACAGAGCAGATGCAGGAGATTTTTGTGAGCGTCCTTAAATCAGTAAAGTCACCAGATGGGTATTCAGGCTAATATATCAAATAATGTCCAGGTGCAGGAGAGGAAGCTCTTAGGCCTAAAGACCCATGATTATCACGTTCTTCTACATCAATTGCTCCCGGTTGTATTGCGTAATAATATGGAGAAAGAAGCATCGAAAATTATTATGGAGTATTGTGGGTTCTTCAGAAAATTGTGCTAAAAAGTTATAGATGTGAAGGAATTTAAAAAGCTTGAAACAGAAATATCATTAATTTTATGCAACCTGCTAATATTTGTCCTTTCCGTGGTTTTCCTTAGATTAGATATTTGTAGTTCATAAAATTTTAATTATTGTAGATATTTGGGGTTTATGAAGCACCTAGTTCGCAATCGAGCTCATCTAGAGGGTTCTATGGCTGAAGGTTACGTGACCAACGAATGTCATACGTTTGCATCACGTTACATGCGCAACCGCGTAAAAGCTGATCAGCCCCCAACTAAGGAGAAGAAACTCGTAAAATATCCAAGATCTGACTTGGAGCAGGTTCATGCATATGTATTGAATAATCTTGACATTTTCAGCGATTATCGAAGGTAATGTACATTAATTTAGGAATAGGATGACACTTGTATTATCGTTGGAGAAGAAGAAATTGGTGGGTTTGAATTCTAATTAGAGCGTGCTTTGGGTAGGCTTGTTTTGAAACGGGTTAGTTGTTGAACCCTAGAGGGGGGGGTGATTAGGGTCAAGAGGCTCTAATATGCAATTTAAAACTCAGCACAAACAAACCACAAAATAGAAGTGCAATCAAATAGAAAGAGATAGAGTTAGGAATCGTTATCCTTGACGCGCGATGTGTTAACGAGGTTCGGCCCGCTGACCTACGTCCCCGCTCCCCACTCTCGAGGAGAAATCCACTAACACATCCGGTTTGGAAGCCGGAACTTCGTCTACACAGCGATCCCACAAGATCTCTCTCTCACTACACAGTTGATCTCACAGATCACACTCCCTCACAGTCGATCTACACAAGATCTCACTCACAGCAGCAGAAGATAAATGCAAGACACTCTCTTTACACAAGCCCCTATAGCAAAGAGAAGAGTACTGAAGCTGGGAAGTGAAACACACTTGAAACAGA